TGTCATAATGAAATTATATATATATAGAAATATATATATATATATATATTTTTCGTTACAATGTTGTTGTTTTTTTTACTTAATTTATATTAACTTGTTTAATTTTCTTTTATTTAGTCACTGCAATGTCAGATTAATTTTTTCCATACCATTTACGTGATATTAACGATCCTCCAGTTCATCTTGATTATCAACAAAAAGCGAATTGGATAAGTGCTGCAAAAAAGACGAAGAAAAACTATCAATATCAATAACAACAACCAGCACTTGATATACCAACATCATTTTATGAAATTATGTATGCAAACAAATATACAACAACTGAAACAATGTAAAAATTAATTAATCATGTATGAAATTGTAATGAATTTACATTTGATACTGAAGGTGAAAAATCAATCAAACAATTAGCATTAATTCAAATTCAAACAATACCTCAACAATTACCATTTTTTCTCATATTAGTAGAACTTGCACATTTACCACCAATTCATTCATTAATTCATTTACAAATTAAACAATTATTTGAATTAAATTTTAAATTTAGAAATAACATATATTCTTGGGAACCATTCCGTAAGGAAATTTATCCAGCTATTGTTTATCAATGGTTTGAATGACCAATTAAAACATCAGTGGTTAATCTTCAACTTAAATTTGCTGATTGGTATAGTTGGACACTATCTCATTGCGAGATATGTAGCCTGTTAAATCTTCGTAATGTTATTATTAATGATATTAATTCTGATGGACAAATGATTTTATTATCAAAATGTACTTGTCATAAACCAAGTCCTTATCGTCCTAATGAACGATGAGTATTACAACAAGCTTTAGTTTATACATAGGGAATGTTTATTGACAAGTCAATTACTGTTAATGAATGGACAACGGAATTAGATCCAAAGTACTCAACCTTATCAATATCAAAAAGAAATAAAATGATACATTATGCAATACATGATTGTTTTGCAACAACATGTTTAATTCGACCTGTTACATTATATTGAACATTTCAACAGGTAAAAAATATTAATATTCTTGATTCATTTCAGGCATTACCATCATCAACACGAGCTAATAACAACCCAAGACATACAAATATTAATCAACAAATAATTAAGAATATTAATGATGATATTGAATTAGTCTCCGATGATGATGATGATGATGAAATAACAGTTAATCAATGTATTAAAATTACTATTAATAATGATATGTTATATGAAGAAATTTCAAATGATGATAATGAATTAAATAAAGCATTACCACCAAATAATAATGAATCATTATATGAAGGAATATCAGCTGATGATAATGAACCAAATCCAACATTACCACCAAATGATAATGATTTATGTGTCAACAACCATTCTATGGTTGATGATGACAAAAATAATGATCAATCTGACTCGGTGAAGTATAAATCACGTCATCAAAATAGATCAGTTGAAGCAAGAAGAAGAAGAAGAAATCGTAAAAGAAAAGATGTATTTCGACGACGAAGATTTCGATATGTTATGACCCGTCCAGTTTATTCAAGATTTACAATCAAGTCAATCCGAAAAATTCTTCGCCAGGATAATATCTCATATATACACACAAAAACCAAACAAGAATTATTAATTATTGGTGTTAAAAATAATAAAATTAAAGATAAAAATGAGCCAAAATTGCCAATTAAAATATTTAATCGACACAACTATTATGCATTTCGTCGTCTCTCTCAAGTTTAATGCGAACATTATTTTTTTTGTTGCTTTTCGTTTTTTTTCTGTTATTCTGTATGTGATATTGTCAGATATTTTTTCATTATATATTGTTCGTTCGTTTTTTTTCTCTCTTGCTGCTTTTTTTTTGTTAAAAAAACAAGTGTTTTTGTAACCAAAAAACATTTTTTCCTTGTCTGGGAAGGATGTTATATCCGGCATCTATATTGTCATCTATTTATTTTTTTTTCCTAGGAGAATCATAACTTTTATTTAAAAAAAGATGATCTGACTAGTCGAGTGTATATCACATATATATATCACCAGGTATAACAAGGAAAAAAGAGAAACAATAGAAAGGAGAAAAAATAAATGACAATATAGATGTCGGATATAATATATCGGAATACGTTTTCTTTTTTCTATGAAGATCTTAGTCTAAGTTTTCAAATTCAAATTTCTTGTCTTTTTTAATATTATATCAATTCGGTTTTCCATTTCAGAACTTTTCCGTATTATCTGGTTTTTGCCTCCTTTTTTTAACATACTTTTCTTGTTTATAATGAAATAAAAATTATAAATGCAGCTAAATGTATTCATGATGGTGAATTTCTTATTTTTCTTTTATTATTTTTTTAACAATCGTGATATCTCGACATACATTTCATCGAACATCATCGTCAGACTAAAGATGGAAAAGAAAAGACAAAGAAAGTTTTTGACCTATAGCTAATATATTTATTTTTTTTAATTTTAAGCATTATAGTCGAATGCTACGAGTTTAGATGACGTTAATTGATTTTGTAACAGTACTTCTTCTTTTTGATAGAACTTTGTTACTGACATCATTATCACAACCTGATTTTAGTCTTAAAACATAACATAACGTTCATTTTGATCTATGACTTGATGTTGATCTTTAATACATAAATGTTAATAATCATATTTTTATGTAAAGATAATACTAGAACCCAATTTCAATGCTGCAGTTATTGTAGTCATATTTAAATCTAATTCGAGGTCCAACTTGGATGAACTTGAACATCAAAAACAAAATCCTCATTTTTTTCATTAGTTTTCTGTCTTTTCTTTTCCATCTTTAGTCTGACGATGACATACGATAAAATGAATTTCGAAATATCACAATTATTAAAAAAATAATAAAATTAAAAAAAAAGAAGTTCACCATCATGAATACATTTAGCTGCATTTACAATTTCTATTTCATTATAGATTTAAATAAATGAAGTTCGAATCAGGTTTCAATATGACTTTTCTCGTTTCTTTTTTCTTTTCATAGCTGTGTTTCTCTGTGTTTGAAAAGAATGTCATGCAGAGCTCTGATGAGTGTTTATATTTTTAAATAACATGAAACGTTTCGGCAACATTAACTCTGCATTTCTTTAATTATTGTAATCAAAGCGCATTTATTTTATATCTATTGTTATTTAATTTTCGACTAAGTTGATTGTTGAAAAGCAAGAGTTGAAAGTAGCAGATCGAACTTATCTTTTTCATCAAGAGATAAGTCAATTTGCTTTCAATGGATTTATTAAATTACGAAAATCAAATAATTAATATTTATTCTGAAATATAAATTATGAAAAAAAAATTTATATTTATTTCAAATTTAGACTACTGATAATTTAAGTTATGAATAAATTAAATAAAAAACAAATACTAATTGACACTTCTATTCAATAGACGACGCTGAAATTTTCAAGGCGATAAATGATGCTCTATAAAAGTTAATATTTCTGTAATGGATAACAATAAGACAGATAAGAAAAGATTATTCATGCAAAAGTAGATTGAACAGAAAGTATTTGAATTTGTGCTGCAAGATCAGCAGTTTTTGGAGCACTAATGTATGATGAAGAGTGAAGACTATTGTTATTTAATGTGGATGCTTGAGGAAACTTGGTTCACTTTAATAGATTATTGATTGTTTCGATCTGCGTCAAAAGAGAACGATGACTCACTATAAAAAAAAGGTTAAGTGCAAAGTGCTTGAAATAAACTGCGCCAACATAGTTTTTTTGCCCTGAGCAAATAAATGACTATCACATGCTTTTGCGTATTTTTCGTTTTATGATTGCATGACTATTTTTGTCTCGTTCTTTCATTTCATTTTGATATGTATAATACAGAGCAAGCAGTGTAAACATGATGCATAATTGGTTACTCCGATTTGTAGCTTGCAACAGTGGACGTCGTTTTATAACACATACATACACATTAAAGAGTAACAACGAACAAAAAAAAATACTTGAAATAAATTTAGTTCTCAGAAAGAGACAAAAACAGAAAAATGGAATAAGGTCACTTTAAACCTTCCTAAAAGAGAATTGCTATGCAGTATGTTGAAAAAACAAAGAAATGCTTCTGTTCTTATTTTTTCAAGCAATATAGTAGATGGAAGAACTAGCAATGTAAACGATGAATAATTGAATCGTGCAGTTTCTCTTCATTGCGAAATAATGCAACGACAAAGTTTCTAGTTGAAATCTGTAAAATGGATTCTCGTAGAGAAATGTTTTATGTTCAGAATGTTTGAAGGAAATCAGATGAAATCAATTTTTCAAAAATAGGTAACTATTTCAATTGGAAAGTTTATTTTAAACCCGAAATAATATTTGGCTTGATGATTTCTATCAAGTATTGATTTTAGATGACGCTTCAGAAAGAGATGCAATCGAATTTTAAATAAAAAAATTAAATTATTTTCACGAATTAGTATCATTTTTGAAACCTGAAGAGATTGAATTCTCCTGAAATTTGGAAGTAAACACCGCTGTCAATTATGTAGATATCTGATAAGACCCTTAAGCCATGTTGAAACTGTTTGTGATAGAACAAAATTACTCTGATTTATTAGATGGATTCTATAGAAAGTCAGATGTTCATCCTAATTGAAAATAATGACGAACTGTATGGATGATTTTGAGCTTATGATGAAAAAGATTCGTTGCTCATGATCTCTATAGATATTCAATGTTGTTCTTAGAAATTCACGTAGACTATGTTTACGATGCGTGAATAATTTATTGAAATAAAAAATTGTGAAAAAATACAAATAAAAGAAAAAACTAAATAATTTAAAATACAATAGAAAAAAATCTAAATAAATAATTTAAAATACAATAGAAAAAAAACTAACTATGGATGGATGTCAACGGAGAAAACTAATTGCTGGATTATGTTCATTGATATTGATCATGGTTAATGGGAATGCTCGATTATCATGTTGAATTTGTGTTTGTACAATAAGTCCTGCAAAAAAATGTAAATGAACTATTATCAAAGCACGGTTTTCACACAAGATACCTGACTTAGGATTTGTTACCAGGACGACCATTACCAGCAGGACGATTAGCAGTACGAGGAGCACAACGATTAGTAGCAGGAGTGTCACAACAAGTAATACGAGGGTCAGTAGGACAAGCAATACGATTACCACAAGAACAAGCAACGCGACAATCATTAACACAATCACCACGAAGATAAGTAAGACAATAACAACGAGCATCACCAATAGTAGCACCACTACTAATACAAGTATCATAAGTATAAAAGCAGCCAGTATCATTATCATGAACAGTAAAGCGACAACAACACGACGAACAGCATTGTGTTTCGGTTGGATTAGAAGGACTATTACCACCCAAATCTCCAG